ATAGAGATGGGCAAGTGTTCAAAATATCACAGACAATGTATCGAGTGTGTCAGTTTGCATGATAGTTCAAGTAGCAGTTGGAGTAACGGTCCTAGTCAAAATCATTAAGTGACAAATAATGGTTTTATTGATGGAGTTAGTTTTATATATATGAAGGTGGGTAAAAAATGAGTGTTCAAAATGCCACATTCTCTCTTTCCTTAAAGACTTACAGTTCCCAATAATGAATGGGCTTACAGCATTCTCTTACAGATTATCTTTGTTGCACTGAGGTAACAGAAGTGGGAGTCAAGGTTTCAGTTATTGATTAGAAATCAGAGGGATTATCAGATTCCTTGGGATGGGAACCACTAACTCGCAGTGCATAAATTCTATCAGTAGTATTTTACTGTTCAAGAATATTCAAATCTTCTGAGTCAATAACTGGAATAAAAGATTCCCTTGAACCAGTCTCTGTACATATGTTAGATGGCTTTCTGCATTGTGACATAACACCAGTTGAGGCTAAGTCATGTATTGATTCATGTCCATAAGTGTATTGTATGTATTTATATTGTTGATTTGCTTCTAACAAATCAATTTTGTCAACCAGGAGATCATATTTACTTGCACAGACATTGCGATGTACAAGAACAGACCTTGGTACTGAGAGTTAGCTAGGTAAAGAGTGGCCACTGGTGTAATGGCGCTGGTATGAAAAGAGTTTTTTGTGAGATGGGACATTAGTGGCAGTGCAGAGTAAAGATCTAAAAGAATGTAATACTTGAGATAGTAATAGCTTCCATTGAGATTCTAAAAGTTGCTTGGACAAGAGTCAGTGTCTCCAGATAATGCCATTGTAATGCTCACATTGTCCATTCACTTGTGGATTATAAGGCATTGTTATGCTAATTGCAATTCCTAATTTAGTCAGGTACTCTCATGGCTCCTTTGATAGAAACAAAAGTCCCCAATCAGAATGAATGTATATGGGTATTCCGGACACAAAGAATATCTGATTCAAACATTGGAAACAGAAACAGGAGTACTCATTTATTACTGAAGGTTTTGGTTTCTGGAGACAGAAGGAAGAGACCTTTTGAAATCCATACTGATTAGTTCCATAGGCTGTGTGGCTTGATCAGATAGGATGTTCTTGGAATGTAGAATCATGGTTTTAGCTGAATACATACAAGGCACTCAGAACATACTCTTTTTATGTTCTCAATAGAGTAAGGAAGGTTTTGTATCCTAACAAAATGAGCTAGTCTAGTTATTCCAGGATAACAAAGATAAATTTGGAAGTCAGATAATTTTTCTTTGTTGATGACAACCCTACAATGCGCTCTTGATAGTGGATATTATCCTTACCAGGTTGGTACATTATATCACACCTGTAGCATCCTAATTCCATCCTAAATCATTGGATTTTTTTATTTTTAATTTTACCCAGTATTTTTGAGTTAGACCTAAAGTTTACAGGTTGCTGATCTGTGACTTTTATGGTACAAACTTTCTTTTCAACAGATGCATATTCAGGTTCCATGGAAGTGAGTGTATGGAAAAAGAAGACAACTGGGTATCCTGCTTAATTCACTTGTGTGAAATAGACTCCTTTCCAGTGCAGATGTTTACTCTGCATCACCATGAATGCCATGCCTCACAAAAGACTCTTTTCATAGCAGTACCATTCCTCCAGTGGCTACTCTTTACTTAGATGTACTCTCTGTACCAGTACTTATTCTTGTATGTCATCATGCCTGCGCCAGTAAATATGATCCCTGTTGTTTTGCTAGAGGTGAATCCATGATATACCCACATACAAACAGTTTCTACTACAAAAGTTCATCAATGGAATGCAAAAATGCTTTTCCAATTTCTTCTTTAAGATCAGTGAATGCTTTTACTCTCTTGATTGAGAAGAAATATTTAAATAGTCCTTTGAAAACTGGTTACACCATTTGTAACTTTGAATGGAATTCTGCAGAATTGATACTGCTTACCATTAGCTTCACAGGCAGTTTATGGTCTGTTCTTACTTTGGATGGATATTTGGTGGTAAGCCCTCTTCATGTTTAATGAACTGTAGTACTTGAATTGAGAAATTTCATAGACAAGACCATCTATCCTTGAGAGAGAGTAAGTGTCAAGATTGATGTATTTGTTAATAGTCTGACTATAATCAAAAGCCAGAGATGGAATGTCCACTGAAGCAGATAGCACACGGCAAGTAGTAAAATTAACAATGTGAAGGTTTTTCTTAAAATAAGAAAAGCAAATAATATTTCTGAGTGTTGACCCATAAAATCTTAGCCAAGAATCACATCACAGCAAAAATCAAATAAAACAGAAAGCCTTGTGTTAGGGTATAGTTCACCTAGTAAGTTGATTATGACTCTACAGAGCCCTTTTACTGGAGAGTTCAGTGATGAAAAAGCCAGTTGCAGAATCCATCTTGGCATAGTCATAAGCAATGAAAGACCCAATGCTTCCAATGAGCTGTAGCTTCCTTATTGCTGATTAAGATGAACACAGTAGATAGCTTAAGTAGTTCTGAAGAAATGGAAAATGTAGTAGGTAGAGTCGCAGATACTGTAGGTGAGGATTTAAGTAACTTAATCAACCAAAAAAAACCTTGGAGAAGTATCTCTTTTTACCATATAGCCTCCTTTGCAAGGCACCGATTATGATCATGACTAGAATCTCAACAAAAATAGCACATATTTTTCAGAGCTATAATGGCACAAGTTCGAGCTGCAGAATGATCCAATTCCACTTCTGCAATAACATTCACAGTTGATGTAAAAGAATATGCATATTATTCAGAGCATTTCTGAGCAACATCAAGGGTCGTTGCTTGATCTACTGTCATACTTAAGTTGAGATTCTTATTTTCTAGCAAGCCACTGCTTAATAGTACATGAGCATAAAAGCATCTCTAATACAGCCATTTCAATTCTGTGAGGTGCTTACAACTTTCAAATTGCAGCCTTTACCGAGTAGTTAAAGCTGCTGCACATACTTGTCTATCATCTCTCCTTTTTTGTTCTTGAATGGCTCATATATTTCATGCAAACACTTCATTTTAAAGTTCTTTTAAAATGTCTATAGTCAATTCTTAATCATCACACACTGCAATATATTCATACACAGTGGGGAAAACAAAGTTAACAAGAGCATCAAGTCTGTCAGGATTGTTAGCTTGGAAAGAACATACAGAAAAAATACAGTACCAGTGCGCGAATTCCTTGTCAGCTGAGAAAGAGTTCAGTGATACATCCAAATATTCTAGTTTGAGGAATGTATTCATACTTAGTTTAGGGCTGGCCTACACTTTGTTTATTAAATTGAAATAATAACAGGAAGATATAAGAGCTTTTCAAAGGTTTTAGTGAACAAGATGGTTATATTTTATATAACAAGAGAGTGACAAACTATCAAAAGATAGTTAAGGGTGATAAGTAAAAGAAAATATGTTATAGAGGAGGTAGCCAAATGTTCAGAATACTACAGACAATGTATCAAGTAGTCAGTTCACATCATAGTCCGAGTAACAGCTGGAGTAACAGTCCTAGTCAAAGTAGTAAGGGGAGTCATTAAGAAATCTTCATGTGTCTTGTCATATGAAAACTGACTTCATAAGGAGAAACTGAACTAAAAACACCTCAACAAACTGTGGAATATAAAAATTTTGGATTTATAGTTTATCTACTTTATTCTTTTCCTTTTATTTGTGGACAAATTGAATATTTTTACAAGGCCAAATTTCATGCCCTCAACCTTCCTCATACCAAGGCAAAAAATTTAGTTTTGTACATCTTGTTTATTCATCTATTGAACATAGTGAGCCACTGATAAGTAATTCACAGGTAAAAGTAATTTTAAATGCTGATTATCAAGTAATCTGATTTGGTGAAAGGATTTTCTCTCAGATTTGTTTGCTGTTGTTTTTGTGAGAGGAGGCTAGTCAAATACACATTTAATGTGTTTTGCTTTTGCCTTGCTCATGACTGATGTAAGAATTAAATAATCTCCCATACCTACTTAGTGAACATGTTGATCTGTTTTATATTTATTTATTTTGGCTTGATTAGCTTAGAGCATAAAATCTATTTGCTAGCTTTCATCACATGATATACTTTCATCTATAAATTATATATAACTATGGTATTTCCCCTGGAGTCAACATAAGAGAAAGCAATAATTTTGGTAAGAAAAATTTTCTACAATTCTTTTAGGTTTTATTTAAAAATTATTTAGATTAATTTAGATAAATTGAAATATATAGAAGTATTTCAAGTAGTTTAATCATGAAAATTTAATTTTTATTCTTCTGTCAATGTTTATATGCAAGTGAATTATTATGAATGTATAACATTATTTTTAATTGTTGCTTTAAAAATACTTTTACTTCATAGGTTTATTTATAGCACTAACAATTTCTGGAAAATACACCAAGAAATTAATCATATTTGTTATTATTTTATATTGAATTCTTAAGATTAAATAATTACTTTATTTTTAATAGTTAATATTTTTAATACTTAAAAAATAATTTGGAATTGTTATTGTTCTACCATATTTAAAAATATTATTGTCATTGTTTTAATCTTTTAATTTTAAAGTGAACAAATCTCAACATATTGCACGAAAATAGGATAAGAGTTAGCTCCCTTGCAGTGTGGAATTCTTTCAACAGTAACTGCAAACAACCTATAAACATTTGTGAGATCAACAAGGGGACTCAGCTGGTTTCACATTTTGACTACCAGCGACACTCTCAAAGCCCAGAACAAACAAACAAAAACTGAGCGTCCACAGGTAGTAGAAGTGGTGGAGGCCGCCAGTAAATCGCTATGTGCATAAAAAGCAGCGAGCAAGCGAGAAACTCACACAACATGGCCGACGAAGACGTTACTGACGAATCTGGAGGCGGTGAGGGTTTGCAACAACAAGGGCCTGGTCCTTCAACTTCGACCCTTAACTCAAGCAATAATACCACCCCTAGTGGTTACAATACTATGCCCGGTGGTTACCCAATAAATAATATACCTTCCCCGCCGGGAAATGGAGGGAGTTACCTTGAGGAAGAAGTTGGACTTGATGAAGATGGAGATGTAACTGTGTCCCTGCCAAAGGCTCTGATTGTCACAGGAGTTGACAGTGCCATCTTCGAGGATGTAGATGCAAAAGTAAGTAATTGTTATTTCTCTTTCTTACGACTGTTCTTTTAGGGAATGGTAGAAGATTATCTTGGCATTATATTGACGTTAATAAAGTTGGTGTATAAATTGTTCTGTCAAAAAGTTTTGGAATAATTAATTAAATTAGCAATCTTTTTCGTGTTTGAATGTGAAGAGAAAAGTAATCTTATGCAGTGATTTTCCTCTAGTATAATTGAGATTTTTCTTCAATGACAAAATAAATTTTAAAAATGCATATTGCATAGGGTCAACGAAAGTTTAAACTTTAAAAAGTCCTTTAATTCAAACAAAAACACTTTCACTAGTGGAAAAATTGATAAAAAACAATCTTTGAGTTTATTTTTATTTATTTTACAATTAATCTTTATAAAGAATTTTCGATTAGAAAACGTCATTGATTGTTGAATTGAAAAAAAAATCAGACTTCAGTGGTCACGTTGTCTACTTTCTTTTTTTTATTTTTCTTTCAAGGAAAACGCGTTATTTAAAAATTAAATCTTTTCGTCTTTAATTAGCGCTAATTGTCTTTGATCATTCAATTTTAATCCCCGCCAACTTCGAAAAAGTTTATTTATCTCTTAGCTTCAAAATTAAATGTTAATCAGCTGTCTCTCCGCCTCTTGCAAAGGAAGCTGAGTAGTAGGAGAAGCATTTCATTATTTATTTGCTGATCCAGACTACACATATCTTAGTGAAGTACAGTGTTTAAGTCGATTATCTATCTCTAGTGACAATCTAAGTAATTATCTATCTTCCTAAATGTAAATTGTCAACTGTTGCACACTGGCGTTTTTTTTTTATCCTTTACTTTTTTTTCAGCAACTTTTAAAGAACAAAAAATATTTTCAAGAGTTACCAATTGAATTGTGGATGACATTTTTTACGTACTTTAATAAATAAATAAATAAATAACAAATGATGATGATGGTGATAATTTAATGATCTTAAATGTTTTTCTTCGTAGTGGTCCCCTTGACATTTGTCAGCGATTTTTCTTTTTGTCCACCTGTTGCTTTTCGGCCCAAGTAGCGATATGCTTCTGTTTCAGAGGGGGTCGAACAATGAGTTTAGTGCATGTTCTTAAGCGCTTCAGGATGCGGCATCGTGAGGTTTTAGGCACATTTGGCGCACCAATGGCAGCAAATAACTCTCTGCTACTTTTTTGTGGGTGCTTTCGCATTTCTTTCTTCAAACGGGTTTCCCTACGTCGAGTGAGTGACAAACATCCACGCGTTTTCCCTTTGTCAATACGCGTACTGCATGCACTCGGGTTCGAGACAAATTTCTTAATCGTTCGATGATCTCTTGCAAGAGTCTTAGATATCTCGAGTGTTGTTTTTCCTTCTTTAAGCATTTGAACAATTTTCGTCATTTCATCATCACTTAAAAATGCTTTGCGGGCCATGTTGCATAAAATTTGGAACGGTGGAAAAGAAACGGTATCACCAAAATGGCTGCCGGATGTTTATTAATGCGCGCAAAAACACTTGAATCTACAACGTTGCGCATGCAACTCTATTGCCAAAGCCTTTCTTCAAAATTGGTAAAAATCCATTCAGTCAATCAATGGATATTTTAAGAAATGCGGATTGCATCTAATGTTGGAATACATTGTCTGTCAATAAATATGAAAAATTCATGTCTACGTTTTTTTAGGGAGCATCTATCTGTTTATTTAAAAAGAAAAAAAAAAAAAGAAGGAAAAAATTTATAAATTTCTATAATTAAAAAAACGCAATTCATCGGAAAAGTAGACGAAAATGAAAATCTCTAGTCTTGCTTTGTGTAATGATAGATCCATTGAATTGGATGTGTATGAAAAACTGAAAAGGTTAAAAATAAAAATCATGACAATTGGAAAACAGATGACGATCGAGTTATGTTGTCTAATATGATAATCATAAATGGTAATAATGACTCAATGTTTAAAACAAGCACTCACTCGACCTGTTTTAAAAAGAAAATTTAACATAGCAAAGACAAATTTGAAACTAATTAACCCTGATCATTTATTGCACATCCATCAATCAGTTCAATCAAATTGAAGTAAACTAAGAGGAAGACCAAGGACCTAAAAAAATTTTCAATTCAAAAAGTAAGATTTAAATTTTTTAAGTAAAATAAAATTAATCCGATTTGAAATAAACAGAAAATTAATGTTATGATTTTTGCGGTCACATCACCAAGTCCACACTTCTTTTTAAATCCTGAAAATCTTGTAACGACCAAAAAAACATTTTGCGCAAATTACAAACACGCCCAACTCCTTGCGCAGAACACCAGAATTCACATTATTTTTGGAAAGATTTATTTTAATATTCTTTAATTTAAAAAAAAAATAACAGAACTACTTTTAGTTTTAGTTGTTTGTTTTTTGTTTTGTAAGTATTTTTTCTTTATTAACAAGTTGACATTTTAATTCAAACAAAACTGGGAATTCTCTCTACAAATGACCTGAGAAGAATCTTGCTCACAAAAAGAAAATGATGCATGTCGAGATTTTCAATTTTCATTTATCAGTGTCGCGATCGAGAAAATTACATTATGACATGACAGGCTGACACAGTGGTTAGGACTAGATTGCAAAATTAGATATTTTTAATTTAATATTGATTGCATATTAAAATATATTAAAAAAAAAAAAAAAAAAATTTTTTTTTTTTTTTTCGTTGATGAAAAAAAAATCATGAACATTGACAATGAATAGATACGGAAAGAAACAATCTTTGGCAACGATCTGTGAACTGAACTTTAAAAGACGCTTGTTTTGTTTGTTTCGCAAAGAAGTCGCTGGTTACTTGACTGAATGTCCATTTCTTTGTGTATGTATGTATATATATACACACACACACACACACACACACACACACACACATATATGTATGTATATGCTGGACTTTCACACCACCCTACATCGCCACTATCGGAAAAGAAAAAGAAACACATTTTGTTTGTGATGTTTACGAGCATGACTTAAAAAAAATTAAGTTATGATCGTAAATGTCACAAGATGTGGATCCACAGTGACGGGGTTAGTGAGACTTGGTGTACTGTACCGTCTCTCTAAAAAAAAAAAATGTCAAATAACAAGACTAAAAAAATGGTTGTGTAGTCAATTTCCTAGTTAATACGCAGTTTGATGAACATAAAAGTATAAAAAGAACAGTTGAATAACAATTTATTATTTTTCTCTTAAGTCTAAAAAAAAAAAACTATTTAAAAAGGATTATTCAAATCAAAATAAATGATCCTTTTGTTTGTGAATAATAATTTCATTAAAGCTTAGAGGTGCAAAGAATTTTAGGCACAACTGAATTTAACGGCTTTGAAAAGTTTTTTTTTTTTTTTAGTAAATATAATGAGCAACCAACGGTAATAGTTTTTTTTTTTTTTTTTTAACTACAATGAAGAATTTAACTTAATTTTTTATGTTTTTGCTCCATTAGTCGTATTTCTCTCGATAAACAACACGAGAATGTAATAAACTTAAAAACGAACTAAAAGCTGCGATAAAAGTCAAATGCAACGCTGCTTGAAAAATACATAAGAAGCGCGCACAATAAGCAAATCGAAGGAAGCGTGGAGAAAAGAAACATTTGTTGTGCTTGGCAGCGCACATTATGATAATGATGTTAAAAACCGTTTTTTTTTTTTGTTTGTTTTTCATTTTTGTGTTGCCTGAGTGATTCACAACCACTAAGTATATGCAAAATGTCGAAATCATGGTGAAATGAGCAACAACAAAAACAGCTGAAGAGTTTTTGTTTGTATACATACACTCTTCACCATCCCGAAGATCACCTGTTTTTCTAAGTGTAATACCCACTGTTAAATACGGGAATAGACAAGTCAAAAAGAGACGTCGTCTTTTTTTTTTTATATATATTTTTTGATGACTATATAACTGGCTTACAGGGTAGCAGTAGTACTCTTTTTAAATGATCTGACATATTTAGTTTTTTTTTTTTTTAAACTTATAAAAATAACTTGCGAAAAAAAATTGAATTCAATGCAATTTAAAAGTGATTTTATAGAGATAAATAAATAGAAACTATTATTAATTAACAAAAATTCTAAGACTAAATGTTCTCACTGTTTGCTTTTTATTATAGGGAGGTGATAGGTTGTACACAGGCTAGCTCGAATGATGCGATAAAGTTTTTAAAAAATCCTTTAAAAAATAAAATATACTTAAACTTTATTTGAAGAGGATTTGCTAACAAATACAGCAGGAATGCTTTTTTATTTTTATATATATTATTTTTTAACTACCCAGTAATCTTAAAAACTTAAAATATTCTAAGCAATCTAATATTTTATTGAATTTTGGTTATTTTAGCTTTATATCCTTATTTATGAAGATACTTGTTGAGAAAATTTTAAATTTATTATAGGTACCTCTCTTATATTCTGATAAAATTGTCTATGGACATCTGTATTTACAAAAATTGACACATTTATACACACAAAATAAAATTCAGAATTCTTTTTAAAATACTGGGAGTTATTAAATTTCAGTAAGCTTTTTCATTCATACAGTTTTTTTTAATTTAACAATATTACTTGACAGTTACAAATTAATACAGAATTTTAAAATCATTTAAATAAAAGTTAATAAATTATTCTAATTAAAATTGAAATAAATGAAAACATTTCTTATAAAAATTCATTATTTATAGAAATTTTTTTTTCTTAAAACAATAGTGTCCAATATGTGCTAACAGAAAGAAAATGCAAAATTTTCTGTCATTTTCTTGCTGTCAGGGGAAACAACTTTTAAAACACTTTATGTCAAGCATGTCCATCCATATATTTGGAAAAACTTTCTGAAACAGTGTTTAATTTTTTTTTAAATACTTGTGTGTCACACATTAGCTTTCAAACTTATGATCTGTAAAAAGAGATCTACTTAATAACGGCATTCTCTAAAGTGCAAAAAAAGAATTTCTTGAAATTTCATAAAATTAAATGGTGGAGTTGTTATATAT